GGAAATAAACTTTTCTTCGTTAAAACCATCCACTTGTGGTATTTCTGTTACAGCAGCACTAGATGACTAAGACAGGGGTGGTGGTATATAAAGAGGTCAACTTGATGACAGGCTGCTTGACCCAAGTAGAAACAATCTGAGTATCAACCAGAAATGATTACACATTACATTTTATAAATTCAAAAAATGAAAAAGACAACCACAAATGTTGGTGTGATGTGGACCAACTGGAACTCTCATACATCGTGAGTAGGAATGTAAAATGGTACAATCATTTGGAAAAAATGTCTGACAGTTTCTTATTAAACTAAACATATACTTACCCTAGTACCCTACAATTCCATCCCAATATTTATCCAAGAGAAAGACATACGTTCACAAAAAGATTTGAACAAGAATGTTATAGCAGCTTTATTCATAATAGTAAAAAAGTGGAAGAGCCCAAGTGTCCACCAACAGGAGAATGGAAAAACAAACGGTGACATAGTCATACAATATTCAGTAATAAAAAGAAATGAACTACTGATACATGCAACATGAATAAATCTCAAAAACATTATGCTGAAAGAAGTATTATGCTTTGTACGATTTCATTTATATGAAGTTTTTATTCTTATTTATATGAAGTTTTAAAATAGGCAAATTTAATCTGTGGTGCAAAAGAGTCAGAACAGTAGTTACACCTGAGGGATCGAGTGGGGACTGACTCAGAAAGGACGTGAGGAACTTTGTGCAATGACTGTAATGTTCTAAATTTTAAAAAGGGTTTGGTTTGCACAGGTGTATGCATTTGTGAAAAATCAGCAAGTTTATACTTAATATTTGTACATTTCATATGTAAATATTAAATAAGAATTTTAAAACTAAATAAATATTAAACTCTAGTTAATGATATGCATGCTGAAGTAGTCGGGGGAAGTATACTGATATCTGCAATTTATCTTGAAATATAGCAGAAAAGTAAGATGGATAGAGAAGTGATAAAACAAGTAAAGAAAATGTAGAATCCATGTAGTTGGTATTTGAGTTCACTGTAAAATTCTTTCTAACTTTGCTGTATGTTTGAAAATTTTCAAAATAAAATGATGGGGAAAAATCCTCATTTGATCTTATCTTTCTATTCTACTTCCTTTGCCTGAAATAAGAGTCTATAGCAACACAGGGAACAGAAACTGGCCTCTGAATCTTCCCTGAGATTCTAAAAGGTAGACAATACGTGTGAACATGGTAAGAAAGAGAAAATATAAAAATTATTCTTGAAAACAAGTTACATTAAGAGTAATTAATAATATTGGTGTTTATTATGATCACAAACAGGATGAGAGTACAATTTTTTGTACCATTTTAAACTGCTTCTAACCATTGAATGAAGAACCACCTTTTATACCAAGTTTTGAATAAGCCAGTTGTGTCTCAATCAACTTTGTCTAAAATTTGGACATTCACGCATCATTAAAAACCACTTACTAAGCATTTTCCTATGTACTAAATATTATAATTGTCAGTATGCTACAACATGGAATTCAATTACATCCACTGCCTTTTGAAAGCTTTGGAAGAAATTTGACATAACTTTATGTCAAAGAAATCTGGATGTGTTTTCCATCTCTGCACTTACTAGTTGTGGGACTTTGGGCAAATTAACTTCTGTAAGCCTCACACTTTTCTTATTTGGAAAATGGAGATGGATAATGGAGGTTCATACCTTATATGGTTATTCTGAATATTCAGTGAGACAATCCATTTTGCAAATATCACAGTGACTGATAGAAAGTACTCAGTAAATATAAGCTATCATTTAAAAAGAGAAAAGTGTGTGAGACACAAAACATTTAATTGGTCAAAAAATGTGGAGCACCTTTATTTTTTAATATAGAACAATATCAACTCCTCATTAAAAAAAAAGAAAAAGCCAGTTGCCATCAAGTCAATTCCGACTCATAGCGATCCTACAGGACAGACTAGAGTTGCACCATAGTTTCCAAGGAGCGCCTGGTGGATTCAAACTGCCCGCCTTTGGGTCAGCGGCTGTAGCTCTTAACCACTACACCACCAGGGTTTCCCCACTAGGTAGTTCAAATAGTAACCATAATAGGATTTGTTTTGTTTTTTCTCAGAGTTGTGAGAAATGTTTTAGAAAGTCAACGAACAATACCCTTGCTACATTGACACTGTTAGAATACATAATTTTAGATCAAGGAGTGAAATGCAGAAACGTACTTCTTAGTATACTTCTTATAATGTCTGAACTTACTGAGATAAGCTACCCTGCTTTACCCAATCTTACATTAAACTCTCAGCAATGTTACCCGTAACATTCTGTACTTGTCACTAGCACCTGTTAAGTAGGTGGGCACATAGCTAGAGTCTCTAAAACAGTCAGGTGGAAGCGGTGGGGGGGTGTGTCAATGTGAGGCAGGAGGATATTAACTACTTTCCCCCTCACTCCCAAGAGAATGACAAGCTAAGTGGCTCACACCTGGCAGGCGGCAGAATGAGCGGCTGCAATCCACTGTGGGGAGCTGGGAAGCCCATACCTTTTGGGAAGCAGTTGTATTGTCTCCTGCCTTGTGTGATATCTAGACATTTCTCATACTCTTTGCTATCTTGTGTCCTTTGGTATCTTTTGTCATCCACCCTGTTTAACAATCAAACAGTCAGCATTCCCACATAATGTTACAAGTGGCTGAAACTAGGTAGTAGCAGCTTGTCCTTTTAGTTGGGGCGTAGCTTCTCCTGTTTGCTACACTGCCCAGAACTCCCTACTGTCTTTTACACTAGGCATATTTCCGGTGTGGCCCATATGGCATTCGGATAATGGTCTAGTGAGACTTTGGCAGTGGTGACACACTGGGAGTTTCTTAGTGGTTAGTTCATATCTAGACTAGAAGGATCCCACTTCCTCTTCGCACAAAAAAAGCAGCCAGGAAATTTCAGATATTTCTCAGATGCCTTTTTGAGTAGATGAGTTCCTTTTTATTGTTTCATCAAAATGAAGGCAATGACTTAAAAGAGAAGGTGAAACTCTATCATCTCGGACAGGAGCAAAGTCGATCATATCCTTTTCTGAAACACTCTTGGAAATGGAGTAAGCATTCTGCTTTTACGTAACACTGCACTTGCTTTAAAACACACACAGTACTGGTTTCTTTCTTTCCTCTGGTATTTTCACTCTGTTCCTCTTAGTGGACTTTTTTTCCAAGATATAAATTCGCTGGGTAGGATTGTTTAGATACAGCTAGTGTCTAATTGAAAGTCTGGGGCATTATGTAGTACACTGTAACTACTTAGGCTGCTTTGTAATCATAATCATGTCTCTAAAATGCCCTGAAATCTTCAGATATTAAATACTACTATTCAACATGCATAAAAATGAGAAGGAATTTTTCAGTTAGTAGATATAAAAAATACTAGAATTTAATATATGAAGATAGTTTTATCATCTTGTTCACAAGGAAATCATTTCTACTTTCCCAGATGGTTACTATACACCAGATTCAGAAAGGTTAATTTTTAGCTCATGTATATTTTCCTTTGTTCTAAAATGTTAGTAATCTTTCTTTTCTATTGTACAAAAGACAGTTTTTGGTGTGTTCCCTTTATTTATTTTAAATTTATGGATGCTGCTACTGATTCCTTAACTTATGGAATACCTAACACTTCTCTCCTTAGCCCTGTTGATCATAAGTTTGAACTTCATCTGCAAAATTTCAAGGGCAGAATTGGACAAAAGTTACATCATTCTTAACATGGGATCAAGCCAAAACTGAAGGAAAAACAAAGATTTTACTATAAATTATCCAAACACAAATTGCACATTTTAACTTTCTTAAAATTGAATCAGCAATGATTTTTACTGCTCTTTCCTTTCTATTTTTATCAGTTATTCTTTTGAGGCTGAATCAGAGAAATGTGCTGAACATGTAGATTGCAAGCAACTGGATTTGTCAAATAGGAAGCACAAAGAAAAATTTTCTCCCTTTACTCAGGTTCCCTCTATTTAACATTCTGAAGAATGATTATCTGAGTTCAAAGATCATATTTCCATCTATTATAACAAAGAAAACACTCAAGTTTCACAACTAAGATGGCCATAAACTTTCTCTAGCTAACCAGGCAATTCCCAAGCTAGTAATAATTCCTCTTGGGATTTTATCTACTCTCCTACAGGGAGCACAATTTATTCAGACCAGGGTACCTTTACCTTATTGCAGAGGTATGAAAATGCTGCCTAAGTAAAACTGGAAGACTCACCAAGTAAGTAGACTGGTGAAATGAGAATAACACCCTTAAATGCATTCAGAGCTAAACAGGCTACATATCAGAAAAAAAACTCACTTAAGGTTTACTTGGAATCTTTTGCATTGGTCTATAATAAAAAGATAAATACTAAATGGGAACATCAAGCTATGAAAAGATAATTTGGGAACTAGAGCCAATTCCTGATACTATATACAAATGTAAAACATATATACTGTTCTGGATTGAACTGTGTCCTCCCAAAATATGTGTTGTAAACCCTGAACCCCTATACCTGAGGATGTAATCCCATTTGGGAATAGGACTTTCTTTGTTATGTTAATGAGATCATATCAGTGTAGGTTGTGTCTTAAGCCAATCACTTTTGAGATATAAAAAGAGCAGATTAGGCACAGAGAAGGAAGCACAAACCAAGGGGAAGATCCATGCCACATGACGATGACCAAGGAACTGAGGAACAGAAGACGAAAAGAGTCAAAGACCTTCCCCCAGAGCCCACAGAGAAAGTCTTCCCCTAGGGCCAAAAAACCAAAACCACGATGCCGTCAAGTCAGTTGTGACTCATAGTGACCCTCTAGGACAGAGGAGAGCTGACCCATAGGGTTTCCAAGGTGTGGCTGATGGATGCGAACAGCCAACCTTTTGGTTAGCAGCCAGCGCTTTTAACCACTGTGCCACCCCTAGGGCCAGTGCCCTGAATTTGGGCATCCAGCTTACTAAACTGTGAGAAAATAAATTTCTGTTTATTAAAGCCACTCACCGTGGTACTTCTGTTACAGCAGCACTAAGAAACTCAGACATATACAAATATAAGATTTAAAAAAAAAAATAACAAAAAACATGATGAACATTTTTGGCTCAAATGTCTTCACGTTACGGATCTCATTTTCATCCTTAAGGAAAGGTTGCTATAGAAGATACAGGATTTCTTTTTATATCTTTTATATCTACTTTTGTCTCTCCTTTCCCAGTCTTACCCATGAAAATCCCATGCCATCTTTAAGAACCATCTTAAATACTTCCCCATCAATGACTCTCTCCCCAACAGTTAACTTGTCCCCAGCACTTTATATTTGTATTACTACCTAGCTAAAAGCCCCAAAATACTAAGCTTCTTGGGACATCATTCTAAAAAAACCTTTACAAAAAATGAAGTCATCACCACTTTCCAGTGCAAGAGTTTAAAAAAGAAGCCACAGTCATCTGAAGTCAACACAAGACTATTTCTGGAAAATACTGGAAGACTTGACACACAGGTAATAAAAAGGAAGACTGGACATAGCTGCTGGGAGTGTGGCTGAAAGTTTCATAAGTTATATCTCAAAATTTAAAATTATCTCCCTCTTTTTAACAACATCTGTCTATGGTTTCTTCTTCTTCTCCAGTGTCACATACCATCTGGTAAACGTAGCAGCTGAAGACCCTGTTGGGCTTCTGTTCTATGTGTAGTACCAAGTCTCTGTCAAAGTAGACTTCATGGCTATATGTCTGCAATGAAAAAAAAAAAAAATCAAACGGAATTTCCTCTTCATATATTCACTACGGTCAATAAAATGTCACAGCACCTATGCTAAGGATCTTCAATGGAATGTAAATCTATACTTAGAGGTAAAATAGTTGACAGAAAAAGGCTTATTTTTCATTATCTGTAGATATGCAAATTATTTATGAGAAAAGCATTGCACAAAATGTAGAGAATGAAAAGAGCCCTGAACTCAGGTTCTACTGCCAACACTGCTACTATCTCATGGTGTGACTGTGCGTGAGCTGCTAAACCTCTCAGTTCTCCCCTGATAAAACACGGATTAGGTAAAATGCTGTCTACTATTCCTTGTAACTTTTATAGAATATAAAAACACGTCCAAGAGTGCCTGGAAACCTTAAATGCTTAGATACGGTCTCTATTAAATAACTATGGGGATTCGTGACAGCGTACTCTTTTATTTTTTAAAAAGCTACCGAACTTATGAAATGGGAGGAAATCAGAGACTATGGTGAGGAAAAAGACAGCCATGATTATCTTTCTTTAAGGTCACTGGTAAGGAGGCATTCCCCAGGGGAGCAAGGCTTAAGAAGTATTCATTTTGTCCTGCCTATAGAATAATAAACTCTTTCATTGGTCATTGGTACAGGTGGGTCTGGGCTGATACGAACATGGTAACATCTGATGCAATAAATGTCACCTATAAAGGAAACTCTTACAACTTTGGACTCCACTCACCACATCCCATGACTCCACTAGTGGAATGCTTTTAAGTAAAGTGCCGTATTCATTACAGTGGAAATCCAGGTGAGCTTTTCCTTCAGCATCTAGTTGAGTAACAGCTACCACAGACAGCAAGTCCAACTCGTCTTCATAGTCCACAATTTTGAAAGTCTCAGGGGATAGATGGATAAATCAGAGGGGAAAAGGGAGCAAATCCAATTATTCAGTTAGGATTATACATACATTTTTAGTTTAACTATTCTACTACTTATACAAATATGGTAGAAGGAAGAATGAATGAGTGGGAGAAAAGATAATGTCTCTACTTATACGCCCAGTAAGACACCAACCCCAAGATTTTCAAGAGTTAACAAGTATCCTATAGAAGTTTTGACAAACAGAACCAAATCTATGAAGATTTCAAAGTATAAATGAAATTCTCTACAATGACAGCAAACCAGAGCTTCTCCAAAGTCAAAGGAGGTATTCAACTATTGCCTCTGACATGTGTGTTCACCAATTCCCAGATAGGACTAAACAGATGAAGCTCAGTTCTCAGATTTGAAGACTGCCTACTGAGCTCTGAAGGTTCTCACACAGAAGAACACAGTCATATCAAAGAAGACTGACAGCCTATCATATCCTATTTATGACTGTTTGCTATCCTTTCTTTTTTTAATCCTTTTTTGGTTACCTAAAAAAAGCAAAAATGGCCGCTTATACTTGAGGGAGGATATTAGGAACTGAAACTCAACCCATAGAGCAGGAGTGGGACAAAAGAAGTTAGTGAGAAGTGGTAAAGACTTGAGAGAGAAAAGTCTAAGCCCAGAACTCTGTCTGGGGCCACATCAGCCTCACAGTGGAAGCAGATCAGTGCCCAGCCACAGGGATGGCCACTGGAAGGCACACCTTGGCTAACTGCCTGGTATTAACTTTAAGGCAGGCTCAGCAAGTTTCTCTTAATCACCATGTACTAACTGGCCACTCACATTTGGTCAAATCACTTTTTAATCCATTTATATTTTCTACCTTTATCACCTTATGCCATAAAAAGTTACACAGATTTATTACCTGTGGTTCTTTTTATTTACTTTTTTGAACTAATCTTACCATGGCCAACTTCAAAGGCTGACTTCTTCCTGAACGTAGATTTAATAGATTTTAGCCACAACCTTTTTAACTTCTCCTTTATAGGCTAAAAGTTTTTGTTTTCTAATCTCTTGACATAGAGCATCTCTCTTTGCTACCACTAATTGTTAATTGTTCTTGCAACCTTTTAGTATGTCTTTCTTGAATACAGTTTTATATAAGAATAGGAAGTGTTGACATGTCATGGGGTTGTTAACCATTGTCACAGGGCAATATGTGTACTAACTGTTTAATGAGCAACTATTTGTTCTGCAAACCTTCACCTAAGGTACAAAAAAAAAAGAAAGCTGGTGATAGGGAACACAAGGTTGAGTA